ACCTTTCCACGTTAAAATTTCGTGCAAAAAGTCCGAAAATAATTTTTTGGTGATGCGTGTCAGACTGCTAGATTCTAAATCGATAATGAAAGAATATTCCAAATATATTAAAACAGCACTCATCGAAGTTAAAATGGAACCCCAGTTGGGTTCGCAACTTGACTTTAACCGCGCTTTTAAACTTTTGGAAAGCTATCTAAGTTGAGGCCATATTGGTCGTTAATTACTTTATACTTGGGTAGTCCACCCTTAAAATTGGTCAAACTCCCCGAGCACAACTTGTCGTTCCTCTGATGTAAGGGCGTATCTTATTTCTTGTATGAGCCCCAAAAAACCAGTAGAAGTTCCGTTCAATTAAGCATAGGTGAGTTTGGCTGGCTTGGACCCCAACCTCCGATTAAAACACCTTTAGATTCCCCCCGTGATTTGTGAGTCATAAAAGCTCTTTAGTGCTCTATTTTTCTACTTTTTTTCTTCCTATAATTTAGTACCATATTGGTGACCTTTAGAGTCTCAACTGTAATCTGAGCTTTTTTGAAAGCAGTTGCGACTGTTAGATGAAACTAATAATGATGTAATCGTCTTTCTCGCATAAGTCACGAAGTATGGTTCATCAACGCAAATGGACCGCTAAAGAGAGGAAGAAACTACGCATTATCACACATATTACGACACACAACAATAGTGAAAATACAAAACCACGTATCTCGGTTTGCAACGTTGCAGCTTTTTGTCATACTTTATATTTTAAACTTAAACTTAAAAACTATTCAACGTCAATTCTTCAAGACTTTCATTTTTTTTCCTCTCCAAGAGAAGGAAATTCTAAGAAAACTTCTATACCCATAGGAATTATGTTGATTTGTTCTCTTTCAAAAAAAAAAAAAGGATGGCTAAGGAACGATATCGCGTATCTCCAATATTACAATTTTGCAGCACAAAGTAGAAACTTTGACATTTTTGTAATTTGGTGGTTAGTTTCGAATTTTTTCCATACATTTACTGTGTTTTAACAACGCACCCATGCATAATTGGAAGAAACTACAAACATCAGCTTCCGTATTTAATACTGAAGAATGCGGCGAAGTCGCTACCTAATTTTCTCCAAAAGTGTTAATTAGGCGGGTCCTTGGCCCTCGCCTCGATATAGATACTAACAGAAATTATAAAACACCGCAAACGAGATACGTGGTTTGGGAGTTTATCCGTCAATATAATAGACCATTAGATTTGTCCATTTCCAGATAGTTTGCCTATCTTCGTCGCCTGTTCATCATGGTTTTTCCTAGAAACCTCACGACACCCTACTCATAAATTACTGAGTTCCTCGACGCACAAAGGCCTTAAAAAGTTGACATCTCGCGTGTCAATCAAGTACCGATGGACCAATTTGTCCTCGCTGATTGTGACGGCTAGACGAGTCAATCAGAACGAAGATCAGACGATTCGGAGCACGAGTTTCCTCCTCTCCTCAAATGGCGGGAACAAGAGCGAGAATGGAGATGGAGCTGGGATAATGCATTTCTTAGCGCCGCTCGCGCTGCGTTGTTGCATCCGGTTGCAAAACTGCGAGCCGCGCACCTGCGCACAAGCACAATACGGCACGCGCGCGCATGCTCGAGAAACCCACTTATGGTGCACTATGAGTTGCGCACTGCTGCACGAATCAAACCTAATCGAGCCTAGAGTACCTTTCTGTTAGGTGTACCAGGGGTGAAACGGCTAGACCGCAGGAGTACACAGTTAAAAATGTCTACCCTTATGATTATCGTGGATCAATTAATATGGGTTGCATTTATTCGGTCACATCAACCCAGAGACAAGAGACCCGCCACTGGTATCTTGGCAAGTTTTTACTTTCGGGGCTTCAACATTCAACTGTTGACCAATAATGCGATCAAGATTCAATCCTGGCATTTCGAGCCTGCTATTTGACAAGCCAGCAATGTTTCGACCCCAAGATTTGGTCAGTGAACGTAAAGGCCACTTTGTCTTCTACTTCTCATGACAGCACAAAATGTTTGTTACTTTTTTCCATTATGTGAGTGAAACGGCGAGACGGAAGAGGCGCATTCTATGGGTTGAGACTTTTATCTTCCGGAAAGTTTTTCTCCGAAGTGCCCCGATTGAAGCTACCGCCCGCGCTCCTGTAGTTCCCGGATCGATAGTATTTCTCTTTTAATTTTGGCAACATTTATGACCCAAACCTCAAGATTCATGGCATCCCATCCATAATTGTTGACGCTGAATCCATTCATAAACTAGAAATACCAAAATCTCCAGTTGACGATGAATTTCGGGGGATCTTGGATCTTTCAGAATGAAAAAAGTCGGACCACCCCTTTTTCACTTCGACCTTCTGAAATCCTCCTTCAACTTGAAATTTCGACAATTTTTAACCCATGGTCAAATTCAGCGCCAAAATTCAGAAAGGTTCAGTTTTCTTCAGTTTTACTTCATACTCCGAAATAAAAAATGCCTAAAATAATTGAGGGGATTGGAGAACCTCGCGCATAAGTGCAGTTTTTGAAATAATCGGGATATTCATGATTCCCAGTTAAAATAGTCTTAATGCATATTTTGAGGAAAATTCGCTCAGAAAGTCCGACTTTTAAGAATCAAAAAGTCAGTTTGAGCTTACTTTCCACCGTAAGGATCCATCACTGAAAAAAAAAAACTCCGGCCGGGAGCCGCAATTACGGGCTATATAGACATGTACCGTCCGTTCTGGACTCAAAGGCCGGAAATTCCGGCTGCTGGAGGCGTAGCTTCGATTGCTCCGGATTCAGAGGCCGAAGCTACGGCTCTAGCAGCCGGAATTTTTGGCCTTTGAGCCCGGAATGGACGGTATGCCTAAATAGCCCGTAATTGCGGCTCCCACGGCCGGAGTTTTTTTTTTTTCAGTGATGTAATTTCAAAACTTCAAACACAAATTTCTCGAAGTAGCTAAAACTGCATTTATATACGTTGTCCTCCAAGCCCCTCGAATTAATCAACGGCATTCAGATCATCGAGAGTTGTTGCTTGAAAGCAAGTGACTACCGAAGTGGTGATAAGAGCAGCGGCAGCTCTGGAGTTTATGCTCTGCGCGGGAGTTCGGTGACATTGAGCCGGGGCGCCGGGACGCCCATGACGTCACACAACGCCCAACGGATTCCGGTCGCCCCCCCCCCCCCCCCCCCNGGTGAGCGATGGACCCGCACCCACTCCCACATTCTCCCGTGGCGCAACGGCGAACAGCTTAGAAAGCTCCTTAATGCACTTTTTACGCCTCTGATGAAATAATCGCCATTCAGCGTTTTGTACTACCGCGCGAAGGAAAAACCTCGTATGAGCAACATAACGATGCGTTATATCTTTCCATAAAACACGAATTTCCTGGACTACGTGTTAATCTTTTTCGCCCGATTTTTCGGAGAATTCTTCTCACAATTTATACGAGCGTCTCCGAAAATTTTGAGAGAAAAAAATGTCTAACTTTTCTGAAAAATAAAAATTTTATCGGAAGAAATATGGCAACATTCGAATTTACATGATGCGTTTCTCCCTAGAACGGTAGTAGGTACTCGATTCTGTGTCTGATTGAAGGAGCGAAGAGTTCGTTAATCAGCCTCACTGCAAAGACTGCGTTATCTGTATGAGTCTGTACTGCAGCCCGATTATTGAAACTGTCGGCATGAACAGACATAAGAGATCTCCATAGTAACCACGCAGTATATCGCATTTCGAATGTACAATCGGGCTTTTTCTGGTTTAATGTTACGATTGATGCAGATAGCTACTGAGAGTATGAAGTGCGTGCGGTATTCCATGTCGGCCGAGCTATTCCGTTTTTCGAACCAAAATTTCACTTTATACAACTACCATATCGGTTCCTTCAACCAAAAGCTCAAAATTAATTGAATTTAAGCCTGAATTTTGGAAGGCAAATTCTTCAGAACGCAAATTTAGTACATCGAAGACAATGAGCTGGCTTTAATTTCATTCACCAGCTCCATTCCTATTATTTTAAAAGTTTCTCTTACCGTATAAAAATAGCAAAAATGAACGCGGACCGTACGCTTTGCAGCGACCCAATTCCAAATCCTCACCTCACTGTATCACCCGCTGAGCTAGAGCACTTCATCAGTTTAATTAAATTTTTCTGCCACTTGGATGCCAAGGAGGGACTAACTCCTCTGGCAAACTAATGTAAGCGCCTATAAGCGTGGGAAAATCAATGACAGATATGCTAATCCTATAGAGGGACTTTTAAAAAAATGGCCTCTTTGTGACATAGTGCCGGCTAATTAGGGGCGATTTTCACAAGTTTGTAACTCAGTTTTTTCTTCAACTAAATAATGTACATTGTAAATAGCCAAAACTAGGTGCACAGCAGTTTACTCGATAAATAGACTACCTACATTTCGCAACAAGGGACGTTTACTTCTAGATTGTTTATTGAAACAACTTGAGTGTCATCAATGTCTTTTTGCAAATACTACACTGGTTGCTCCTGAATCTGTCATGCTCAGGAAAACGCCTTTGAAACATTCAGATATTGTCTAATTTTCTTTTAATAAAACTTTTGCATATTTTTCTTCTATTTTTTTAGAGAATTTTATCCGCAATGTGGCCTGCATTATCTAAAAAAAATCGAAGAGGAATATAAATTTCCTCAAAAATAAGTATTTAATCAGAGGAAATTGGGTAACACCGGAATCTCTAAATGACGTTTTCCCTTAACACGGTAGTATTGCATCCAGTCCAAATACAGCTTGTTTTACATACATTTTACACTTAATAAAAAATCGTCGTATCTGGTGCATCCACAAAAACACCTATCTAAATAGGAAAACTAGTATGCCTCCTGTTGTTTTTAAAATAAGACAGAAAAAGTGATGCCCTGTTGTAAAATGTAGTCTGATTAAATAAAAAATCCCAGCTTCTTGCTAACTTCCGGAAACCGCCGCTGCTACATTCCACGTTCACGCATAATGACACAATCGAAATGTACTTACTACTGGCGGGAAGTGTGGGGGGTTTCGGGAGGTCGAAAAACGTGTTGACGGCCCCGTCAAACTCATCGACGTCATCCAGGTACATGCGACGTCCTCCTCTGGTCCGTGGCGTGAACCAACGTCGAGCGTTCCGATACCAATTCTCCATGATCTCCCAGCACATTCGGTTCCTTTTTCCTTACCGACCGTTTAAGTCTTTTCGGCTCCACCGCGCCACTTCAGCAAGTGTTATTGCATGTCCATAACTCAGCTCTTCGGCCCCATCTACGAGCATAGGACGACAAGCTTCATTGAATAAATAAACACACGTGTAAGAATAATAAACACTATCTCGATCAAACGGTTTATTCGGCGCACTGCCAATCGACTCCCGTTCGATGGCTGGACTGCCTTTCCTACTTTTACTCAAAGGGTCTTGTTTTTCATTTAATTTCTAGGGTAGGGAAACTAGAATAATAAAACAAAACGATATTTGTCTATCATTTATTAAATCATGTATATAATGTATATAATCATAGAATATATTTATAGCGCCCCGCTATAAATATTCATCACCTTACTCTCTTATCATAATAACCTAGTCTTAAGCTTAGCTTTAAGTCGAATATTGTAATTAAAATATGTATAATTCCTGGATAAGGAGTTTATGTAAATAAATATATATGTATATAAAAAAAACTTTTACTCAAAGGTGAAAAGTAAGTCCCAAACTTTCTTTGAGAAAATGTGTGAATACTTGGCAGCAAAAATGAGAATGTTAAGCCTCTCTTCCGCGTTTTAGTTCGAGGTTCGGTTCTTCAAATCCGAATGTTACTTAGATACTCAAAATAAAAATTAATTGATTTCAAGGGGAATAAACCAACCCATAATCACCGTGAAAAAGGAGGAGAGGACACTATGCAAAATCGGCGATTCCGGCCTATGGAATACATACAAATTTTAGGGCTGCTTAGGGAATGGTCCACTGCCCTAAAAATGTTTTGGGTTTGCCCTAAGCCCCAGGGAGCCAGTGGTGTGTGGGGGGTTTAAGTATAAGTATATCGACTGATCTGCCATTTAAACCTATGGAAAAAGGATCGAGAAGCGGAGATTTTGTAACGAACCTCAACGATCGATCTCTAACCATAACCTCATGGGGAAATATCGGTCATCGATCATTCACGCCTCGCCTCTACTTACAATTTGAATAGTTTCCTTTAGATCTATTAGGATATTTCGTCGTCCACTATTTTTTTTAATTTTTTTTTTTTTTAAATAGTCAAAATATGAAAGGTCCAGCTCAGAGATTTGTTTGAAAACTTTTGTTTCCGTCATAAAAACCGCGTGGTCAGTTGGACTGCTCACATTATGTGAATTCCATGCGACTGAAAGCCTTATAATTTGAAAAAAAAACAATGAATTTAAAAATTTAATTAGACTTACTTGTAAAAAGTCATGTTACTTTAGTAAAAGGTCTCATACGTGGACTCATAAAAATGTTCCGTTAAAAATTCCAGCACAAATTAAAAGAATTTCTTTGATTTTCCAAGTGTGCGCATGAAGTAGTAAATAACAACGAAATCTACGCTCCAGCTAAACTTGTAAAACAGTCACGTAAAATATTATTGGCACTAAAAAATCAAGTATCCAAAGATGGCACCAATGATAGAATGATTAAATACAAATTTTAAAGGCACATTAAATGCAAATCATGACATTTTATTAAATATTTTCCTACGTCGAAAATTGATTGTCCCTCTTAAATTATATCACGCACATAGAGGAGTAAATCTACAAAGAAGAAAGTAAAGTGAATCAACGAATAGAATGAGAGGGATTCTCGAGGGAAAATCCAGGGACAGGGATTGGTGCTAGACGACAAGACGCGGCGCGATAGACTGACTCACAGATTTCTATTTGAGTGTATCAATCTCTAGCGTCCTCGTTGTTCCGTAGAGACTGTTAACTATTGAGCAATTAAGAACACCTCTGCATATTCTCACAAGACTCGGTTCTCTCGTAAGTCGCAAACTCTTGTTCCTTCCTTTGTTATACACGCCATTCGGTGTAAAACGCCCAAAACACATGTCCACATGTGTACCTCTAAATACATTCATTGCGCCCATAAAACACGGTAAGTTTTGTTTACAGTCATGAAAGCTGCCACATTGCTCAGTGTTTGATGCTTAATTTTCTTTTTTTGTGAGGGAATCAGTTTTTGGTACGTCAATTCACATGAGTCATTGGATTGGAAAAATTAACTTTAAAAGCAGAAAATGCACAAACGTCTATATCCTCACCTCGAAATTTTAAAAAACGCCTTCCAATTAACGGTTATGCAATTTAAACGTCAAAACAGTCAAATGTCATCCTTAAAGCTTTTTGACTCAAGTTTCATTGAAAAGGGATTCCTTGAATACCATAGAAAAATGCTAACCTGCTCCTGCTAGACGCATAGTTTGTACACTATAGATCGTATTCGATACATCAAACAGGTGAGACTGTATCGATATGAGAAATGATTGATGCTCCGCAGCACGTGACAAGATATACAATAATAAAACAAATTACACAGCGGGTAACAAGGCTAATTTTCACGTAAATAAACCAAAACTTTTTGCCTGAGAACTCAGCCTTCCTCAGTATATACAGTAAAAAATTTTATAAATCTAAAAACGTAGTACTTTGCTGTACCTTTGAAAGCGAGAACAATGTTGTTATCCTGTTGGGATATTGTAAAAGGAAAGTAGTTGGGAGGAAGTATTTGATGCTTAAGAGGGGAATATATCCGTCCCTTAGCACTAACCAATTTCTCAGGCAAGATAACATGTTTCCCTTTTGCAGAAACTACTTGCTCAAGAAAAAAACATTTCTTTCCCAAACAGTAACTCATTGTTCCAGAGAGAAAATATTTCTCCGTAGCACTAGCTAATTCCTCCGGCGGGAAAATATTACTCTCTTCAGCAATAACTTATTGTTCCGGAGAGAAAAGTTTTCTCTCCCAAGCAGTAAGCTATTGTAATTAGTTTTATAATTGTATCGATATCGGTTGGTTCAACACAGAAACATAGTCTCAAAAGTCAAATTAGAAATCTGAAGGAACGGGTCTTCTGCGATTGACGTTTTATTCTTTCGAGTACCAAATGACAATTAAAAGTGATATTGTTAGCAATTTTCTCATTTTCAGCTTTTTCAACTTCAATCCTAAAATTTGGTTTGAAGTTATATTCTATTGTTTTGAACCAAACGATACATCGAACCACTATTTGAAACGATCCATTGTATCTATTCGATACTCCCCATAGTCATTTAAAATGACCTAAGTACGAGTTGTAGTGTTAAAAGGACAGAGGCGGATCCAGCAATTTGACAACACCGGATTTCCTCCATTTAAACCCATGCTAAATAATCGATTCTTGTCGGAGAACCTGGCCCCCTATGAATCGATACATTTCCATAGGTTTAAGTGTAAGAAATTCGGTGTTGGCAAATTGCTGGATCCGCCAACGTAGAAGGGTCCGTTTCGTTTTTGGAAAAAGACGGATTTTGAGAGTGAATATCACAGTAGTCAAGTTAATAAATAAATAGATAAATATATTTACGAATAAAAAGGAAGCTGTACAGCCTTTGAACAGTAGTAACATAATCATAATATTGCATAGGAAGAATTGAAATAATGATTAAAACAAATAAGGAAGCTATTCGGAGACGGTGACACTCCTTGATCCTGTGACGTCAGATAACTGCCGAGAGAAAAAGTTGCCGACTATCTTACGCGACCCAGTCTTCTTTGGTACAAAATACTCAACGAAGGTGACCTCCTCATAAGGTTGCACATCCCTGTAACCAAATTATAATTTGATATGAAATTAGGAAGTACGCTGTAGTTTTTCACGTTGCAACATATATAACAATAGGAGCCTGTGGCCGCTACGCGGCCGCCAACCACTGAAAGAAAAACTACACGTAAAAAATCATAGAAAAACCATGTTCAGGTTATTTCATAGATGAATGAATTCAAACGCTGACGGGTGCACACGGAAAAAAAAACAATCTTTGATTGCAATGTTATGCACCACTTTTTATGTCTTATTTTTGAAAACCATTTTTAAAAAGCTACAGACGGTTTTTTTTAAAGTGTTCTCAAGCAAGGAACAATGCATGAAGTATTCCTGCAGTGTTGCAGGCGCTGATATGACTTTGGCGCCGACCGGACCGTGTTCGGCGCGATTATTCGAACTCGCGTTAGGATAATCGTCGCATCGAACGATGGGGCTTAAAAGGCCCATGATGTGTTTCGACGCCGTATGAGCATTCCAACGTTGCCTCGTTTCTCCCGATAAAATATTTTTTCTGAGAAAAGTTAGGAAACCTCTGTGCGTTTGCTTTTTCAAATTGTAGAAGCTGATTTTATATGTATTAGATTTTGATATTAGAAATTGAGCTGAGCGTCAAGATTGAAGTTGCCATATTTTAATTTTACTGAGACTGTCATAGTGACGCTTGGTTCTGCAACGTTGCAAAAGAAGATCCGTGGCTTCGCACTTTGGTCATGGATTGGTTTATATCTCGTTTAAAAGTTGATCTTTGCACTTCCCGTTGTGTGATCTTAAAACTACCCCTAGCTCATTTCCCCTAAAATTTGGCTTGGTTCCTTTCTGCTTAGCCCGACTAAGCTTAAAAGACTTAAACCCATTTTTGGAGTGGCGTATGATTTTACCAAGAAAATGCTCTGTGTACACTCAGTACGTCCTGGTGCGTTAAAAATCATCATAGCCAGGTAAATTAAGGACTGATTTGTGACTACGTACCTAAATGCAAGAGTTTTCGGTCGTTGAAGTCCAGGTCCCTCAACAACTACATAGCAACTATCTAGGTGATAATTCAAGGGATTTTGGAAGGTAAACGATGCACTTGACGGTTGACCAATTTTCAACGATCCTTCAATCTACAAAACAAGAAAAATATGGAAGGAATAATAAATGAGGAAACAAATAAGCAAGAAGATTCTGCGGAACAGGCCGTATCTACATGAGAACTATCATCCAATGATTTACTTTCCGGCAGAATATTTACTATCAATAGTTGCATGACCGAAAATTTAAGTGATGTTACAAGCATGACGTGTCTCCTCACAAAATTGTCTGTAAATCATTGAAAAGTAACCTGTATTTAGAGAAATTGTGCCGATTAACCATGAAGATTGACCATCTAGTCTAGAAATACTTGATCTGCTATCTGTGGTACAGAGAACATCTAGCTTTAAAGTGTTCCGTTTGAACGCATTTATCCTACAATTAACTATGTTGCACACGGACCCTATGATTATAGTTCATTTTAGCATTAATACGTCCATATGGGCACTGGATCAGGATAGTTTGATCGCTAAATAGTACAAAAAAGAGACAGGGGGAGGCTCTTTGGATGTCTCATTACCTCTAACATTATATGGTAAAAAATACAAAAATATCACATTTTTCGAATCAGCAAAGTGCAGGAGGGTGACAAAAACAGCGGTCTGTTCGTAAGATATTGATTGAAAAGATTGCTGCTTTTTGTATTTTAAAAATGAGAACGGTGGGAAGATAGTTTTATACTTCTTAATGATTGTTACTACTTACATCAATATTTAGGTTTGGTTTAATGAGAGGGAAATCATCCTCTTCAGTCCAAGTTTGTTTAGTTTCGATGACACTGGCAACTGCAATCAGCTTGATCAGGCTGTGATCCGTCAGTTTATGAATATATTCTTCAGGCTCTACAGTTATTCTGATCTGTTCATCTGAAAACAGTGCAGAACACGACATGAGACTCAAAGTGCGAGTGCTTTAAAAATCAACAATTAAATGTTCAACTTTAACATAAAAAGTCTGAAAATTGTTCAACTCAACATAATTTGTAAGAAGTTAATACAAAGCGCCAAAAAAATGTTTGGCACGTGCTGACTGAAGGTAAAATTATCACAACTCTAAACATTTCTTTGCCATTATAGTTGACGCCGGCGCCGCGCTTTACTCTCAGGTTTGACTTTTACCAAGTTTCTTCCAATGAAATGTTTATTTTTAAGGAACGATATGAATATTTATCCTTGAAATTTCAGGACACTTTGGATCGATTTACGAATACAATTTTCTAAAAATTCGGGGAAAAACGAAAGATGGATCAATAAGTATTTGAGTGAAATATCTGGTTCAAGTCTTACATGCATTTGGTTCGAGTTCAAAATCCAATTCATCGTGCTTCACTCGATGAGCTGTAGCACCATTGTAAGCGACCGAATTAACAGTGAGACGCGCTGCGATGGTCCTTGATTCATCTGAATTATTCTAGAATTCAAAGAGAAAAAAATATTATAAAGATCCTAGGAAGAGGGTAAACATTTTTAAGGATGAAATCAATTTTAGAATATAACGGCTAACGATTCATTAAAAATTTACACATTGATTCATTTCACTTATTCATTTTCATTCTTCATTCTCCTGTTCGAAGGCGCAGAGATCGCCCATTTTTGCTAAAATGATCAACATGGGCAGAATCGTGGCACTATTTTGTCGACATTTTTGCTGTTAGTTGCCAAAGAGTGCTATGAAGCGACATGTAAGTACACATTTAACTCACTTTTGGTATAAAAAGAGATTCTAAACACTGTAAAACAAGGAGTCAAAAATCAACCGTAAGCACCATTATTGTTTCAGTATGTGTCGTTATCAAAAAGTCCAGTCAAAGATTAATTTTTTTTTGGCGCGTATACGTAGTATACCGCCTTTGCGATCGTTTCGAACCCTGCTCGATACAATAACCGAGTCCCTTAGTTCCTTACCGAAAAGTGACTACCGCGAACTTCTGAGATTTTCCAAAGCGTGTAAAAAGTTTATTTATCCGTCAATAATTATGATTTAAAGTTGTTTCTCATTCTGGGGCTCTCTAGTTTATGTGCAGTGAATACCAAGAGTCTACGTTACTTGGTTTTCTTAAAAAAAGCCTAAGAGTACGACGCGCTGATTTAAAATATGCATATATAAGCAGAATTAAGCGAACTGATTCGAGGATGGCTGAGCAGGTCGGCACTCTCGGAATGAGAATTTAACTCCTCCGTTTTGTTCAAAACGTTGCTTTGACAGATCTCCACACCTCTGTTATACTTTTCAAAAGTTGGTACCCGTGCTCTGATAGTGCTGTTCATCTGACAACAATGTCAGTGTCAGCTGATAATAATATTTTTATCATATGAGGTTAATAAAAAGTTTTCAGTCAGTCTTTGACATCCTGCATAATTGTCTTGGTATTTTTTATTTACTAATTTTACAGAATTATATTTTATTTCTTATTAAAACGACGGCGTCGGCGTCTCGACGAACTATAGCTAATGACGGTCGCCAAGCTAGGCCGGGATCCTCAGCCCCTCGCCCAATTACTTACGCTTCATTAACCATTTCACCGTCACGCTAGGATTCGCCCAATTTTCCAAAAAAATTGTTTCGCGAGTTTTTAGCAATTTTTTCCTTACTCTCCGTTGAAACACGAATTAAAAGAGGTCTCATTCATAAAAATCGGCCAAATAGAAGAGAAGTTACAGTATTCGAAATCCGAAGAAATCAACAAAACTTCTCCAAACAAAAAATTAAATAAAGGGGGAAAAAAAGAAATGTATAAATTACAATTTAATATGATTGACCTCAGAATGTGACAAGCAATTCAATTATAAGAAGGAGAAAAAATTGAGTGAAATTACAAAAAATTAGCCTCTTGCAAGGGACTTCCTTGTATGAGTTTTGACCTGAAGACAAGTAAATCCCGTTACATTATTAAAACGAAATTGACTCCATAGTTTAATGCCTTAGTTTCTTGAATACGATTATTTTAAGCTCTCGAAAATTTATACCAGCAATTTTACCCATGGGGTGATTTCCTGAGAGCTGATAATATCACGAATTTCTCATAGAGCCCTTCAAAAATGGCTTGCTTTTTGGGCAGCCGATTCGGCCATCAAACCGGGGTTTAAATGGAAGCTGATAATAACACAAAGCTCTGATAAAAATTTTGAGATAAGTATAGGAACGGTTTGTAAATTACGAGGAGAGGCGGGCATTCTGTTCAGCATATCGATACATAAGTATTTTCACACGTAGAATTTAATTTTCACGTCAGTTCGATTTTATACGGAAAATGTATGGTTTTTCGGGATTGAAATTACTTACAATTGTTTCATGAAAAATGAATGCACCCAAAATGACTATAGCATTTTGACTTTCACATACGTGCATTCACTAAATCGATTGGTAAATTCAAAGAGTGGGTACATCGACCTGGTATATCAAGTTTCTGCAATTTTTCACGGCAAATCGGTAGATTTTCGGGATGTGGATTGCTTACTTTCAATTCATGAATGAATAAAGCATGGACATGGTTAAGCTTCTTTGCATGAAAAGTGGTTTAAAATAAAAAAATCAAGACATATTTAATACAATTGCATTTATATCGAGTAAATCTCTTTTCAATAATATAACGGGATTTATAATACCGGTGATTTGGGTATTTTAGCCCCAAAATACCTTTAAATCGACTTTATCTTCTAGGAGTTCGACAGAATTTTTCCTTTCTTCGCTTAAATTTTTCCGTAGCACTTTTCTTCAAGAATCTGATAAGATTTTGCTTGAGGCAGATCAAAAAACTTAAATTTGTTCGAATAGCTTTCTAGATTCACAATACACGGTCTCGTCAAGGTGCGTCGTTGACCTTGCACTGTTGGATCGTGAATTCTCTTGTTGTGCTGCTTGCCTTTTTTGAAATCTCTGTAAATGAAAACTAAAGGGGTTGATATGTGCGAGTTAATGACGCGCCTTATCAACACATTGTGTTGGAGTTCACTGCTTGTTTTTTTTTTTTAAGTTTTTATTTTGTAAACTTCCAAAGGAATTATATACAATATCTTTACAATAAGGTAAATCAGTATACAGGAAACAACAGAGAAGTTTCTTACTTCTTGAATGAGAAGGAGTTTCTTACTTCTTGAATGAGAAGGTATTAAAAAATTGACCAAACATTAGATTTGTTACAAAAAATTAAAGCGCACTTTTTTTTTAAAAAAACAGCATAAACAAGGAGATCCCTATTACAGTCTAGTTTAATGTCTGGTGAAAATCACTCACTTGAATACGCATAAGAGCTGTGAAAGGTTCACCAAAAGGAACTGCTTCAATCTCGACAAGATCAAAAGACACATCCTCGTTGGCTCGATCAGGGTAGTCATAATATTTCTTTGCTAGATCGCACCCTCGAATGGCAGTAAGGACTGCAATTCTCTCCTCTTTTGAGCCTGTCGGATGAAAGCTCAAAATTATAAAACAGGCAAAAAATGCAAATTTATACTTCCTGGTGAAATGTACACGTCAAATAACTTAATAAGAATTCAATTTTTCCCTTTCAAAAATAATCATATATCTTGCTTCCATTTTAAAATAAGATCAAAGTCAACTTTTGTCCCACTTTCGAGTAAAAAACTTGATTTCTATTTCTTCGATTTTAATTGGAACTTTTTATCGAAATAAACTAAATCCGTGGTGACACGAGCCCTGCCATACAAGTATTATTATGAATTTTAGGGCTCATGTCAGAATGGATATGGTTTCTTTTGACTGAAGTACACCCAATTGACTATAAAATGACTTTGATTAGCTCTAAATTTTGCATGCAAAGTTCAATCGTTCCATTCTCATAATTCCTTCCAGCATAAATACGTCCAATTTCTTCAATTTTTTCTAAGAATGAGTGCCATTGGACTCGGTCTATTTGAGAATTCGTCGTTCCTCTGACATAAAGGCGTATCTTGATTTCTATGCTTTCTGGGGCTCACGTAGTAAAAGAGATACTCCCTTGAGTTAAAGGAGCTACTTTTTGACTCGCTTTACGAGTCAATTAATAGACCCAAATCATCATGAGAATAATGCTGTTTTGACAGTGAATATTATCATTACTTCATTGCACTTTTAACGCATTGGCCCAGCAGATAAAAAAAGAGAGAACAACTTTCCTCGACATATTAAAAGTATTCGTCTCAATAATAATATAATCATGTGGAACCAATGAATGAAAATTCTGCTCCCGTACAAAAGTATTCAGGGATTATACTCATATCAAGATCATTCGTACAAATTATTCCCTAAGACCTACTTTTGGCTCGCGACCTTGCCATGCGGAATCAACCAATGATGTGAAAAATGAAAGAATATCAAAATGTTTTTATATTTACCCTCAGGATTTTTATAGAGATGAGTTATATCTTCCATGTCATTATCTCCGCGATCATCATCAATATTCACCTTCTTTGTGACTATTTTTCGCCCCACGCTAGAAATGAGAAGAGACTTTCATATTTTCCCAAGAAAAAAAATACTTGAGATCTCATATATTTTATATAATAATAGTTGCGGTTATGATATTATCGGGAGAGAATCTTTATATAAAATGAACTAAATAACCATCCGAAGTATAGGTACTGAAGTGCAGTTTACCAGCATGCACTTCAAAAAAATTACGTCCAAGTCCTCGTCAGTGTAAAAGTATCATATATTTTAAAAAAAACTTCTATAGTAATTTTAGGTGAAAAATAAGGTCTCTTGTCAATTTTATCGATGTGTAAATCTGAGATCGTTTCACAAAATGTAAAATGCGATATTCGAGGCAAAATGAAATTTCATATTTATTGTTCCTCATTTATTTCATCGTGAAAGTAAAGTATTTGCTTTTCTTTTAAGTTCACTGCATTTTAATTCAACACTTTTAAAATTGATCTCCAATGCATAGAAGATGTGCTCATTATTCTTTGCAGTAAGTGCCATTCAAATACACAAGTTGATCTCTTGTGTTATATTGGCCGAATTTTTCATAAATATATTTTTCTTTTTAAGCTTATCTTGAGCCCCTCTCTCTTTCCGCTTTTATGAGGGTGGAATCTACGTTTCTACAAACTAAAATTCCATTCAGAATATACAATATAAAAAATGCACTCACTGATACTGGTCTATTCTTGATGTTCTGAAGCCCCAGTCAGAGGTATTATCTTCAAGGAAATAACAAAGATCAGCATTGACCTCTGCAAACAAGAAGGGCGTGTCGAAGTTGTATCCAACTTCGCCTTTTCTCACAGCTTCGACGGAGGTAGGACCGCATCTATAGATACCTTAAAAAAGAATACAAAATATTATGACACAGATCCATCACAAATAAAGCTTTTTAAGGAAAATTTTGACAAACCATCTGGCTGTTTCTTATTTCAACTGCAAAATAATTTAATGTTCTGAAACACTTCTGTCACCAGATGCATTCAAGGGCGTAAGCTGTTCTCTTTTGCGTCCAGATATTCAAAAGAAAATGAAAATGTGAAGCAAAAAGAAATCAAATAGAATTTAAAGCAACTTTCGCCTCACTTTTTCGATCATAGTTCCTGCGTCAACCGGTACGGGCAAAGACTCAGCGGCTCTGAGTGTGTTTATCATTCGGTACGAGAGTGTATGAGAAATTGCTTACTCTACGATTGAAGGCTCTTTCTTAGTGCTATCAATACCTACAGCTAGTTCCCCGAGCTTCATTGTGCAGATATGTGGTGATGGTGAGATTCCTTTTTGCTCCGAGCGTTAACAGAGATTTACGTTTTACAAAAAGGAGCCAGAAGTTGGTGCGCACTGGATCATCGTGTACTTACCAACGAGTGCACACTTACGCTGTTTTGAGAGGATAACGTGCACGCTGTTTTTACGTCCTCGATTTTCTTTTTCTTTTTTTCCCCCTTTTTTCTAAGATATCAGTGAACTCATCCATCTGCGATATCTTTCAAATGAAAAACAGGAAGAAAAATTTAATGCTTACGTTGGTAATAGGGCAAAATGTCCAAAGTGCAAAATTTTCCGAGGTCAAAAAAGTCCATATCTAAAACATGTCAAAATATCTGGGATGTTCATTAGGGAAATATGGTCAAAAACAAAAATGCCCAAATGTGATTTACCATAGTGGCAAGAAAGAGAGATTTCAAGCTTTACATCGATATCCATGGAGATATAATGATGAAGACGATATTCCAGATATGGCCATTGGACATTCCAGATTCTTGGACATTTTTCATTCGTGGCCTTTTTTTACATTTGACATATTTTACTCTGGATTTTTATTTTTGGACATTTTGACCTATCACCCTTACTTTCGCTTTTTTCCTGAGGAGTGGCGTCGATTGCTTGCCAACCACCGTATCCGGAGGGAAGGTCTGACCTGGACATCCATACGTCATTCCAAACGTGGAAATTCCAGCAAGAATCGTTAGCTTCGCCGTTCGGGCCCTCGATTTCTTGCCCACTTGCATCGAAGTACTTGTCGATCGTAAGCGAGCTGTTCGTGTCGTGAGCCGAAATGTAGTTGGTGACGGATCGGCACGGAATCCCAAGAGCTCTGCAAACTAATGAAAACAAGTATGAGAGCACTGGAAAAAGAATAACGGTCCATTTTGATGCGTAATATCGTTGAGTCCCTAGCAAGAAGACGATACCTACAAATTCTATGCTAAAACTGCTTAAAATTCAATCTCGGAGGACTTATTTGTTTTAAGGGGAGCCAGACACTTGACAATGGAAAACAAGCAGGAAGCTCCAACGCATTGGCGTCGGAGAGCGGCTCTGGGGGCAGTAGTTGTAGTCAAGAATGAGGGCCTAGACACATTTTGTCATTGATGTACAATCCGACAACTGTCGATTCATGTTTTGTAACTTAGCAGATTTACGTAGCCGGTGTATAAATGTGTATTGGGCTTTGATATGGCGAATACATGGCATTATCACTTGTTGTATACTTTTAATTTTGAAAGCTCTTTGGAGGTCCGCTTCCTAAAAAATCTCTGGTTGATAAGTCGTTTAGCGAGGCTGCAAAAAATTTGCATTTTTATATCTGAAAGTGTAGGTATTGGTTTTTTGTATAATTGTTTTTTTGGATTGCTGGAAAAGTAACGCATACTTCTATAATTTAGGACTGAGTCAGGGAAATATAAGGTTCGTTAAATAGTAAATATTCCTAGTACCGTGTGACACTATTGTTAACGAAAAGTTTTTGCAACTTGTCAAAGAGGTTGTTGAATGATCTTCGAATAACTTTTGATGAGCTAGAGGTAATGGTTCTATCTGCAGCTCGTGGACTTCTGTACGATATTGTCCAGAATCATCTGAATTTTCAAAAAGTGTCCGCTTGTTCGATACCCAATTTGCTCATTCATGCATACAAGGAGAAGCGCATGAAAGCTTTAGCAGACATTTTGGAGATGAATCAAGAATTAGATGAAGAATTTATGACTTAAATCACGGCACCTTAATCACGGGATGACCTTAATTACGGCAACTATTTATTGTCCATGAGATGCAGATGGTTCCATTTCCCTAGCTCATCAAAAGGTATTCGAAGATCAATTTCATCAGCCACCCGTACGAACCACGTTTCTAGTGACCCGTACTTGCTTCGCACGTATGAAACATACAATCAGAGAAAACAGAATTCATCTTACAATAATCAATAATCAGTAGGACATGAATCGTTGCGATGTATAATACGACATTATAATGCGGCATTACTATTGTAATTCATTTTAATGGATTAGGGGCATTATAAATCATTATTGCCACGTCGGAATGAAATGTTGTAGACTGAATTGAAAAGCATGTTGGCAAAATTTATTATAAAAATAGTATAACATGTAGGTACATGACATAAAGGTAATACAAATTAAATGATTAGAGCGTGTATATTTCATTACATTATAGGTATATTACAATCATTTTTGTCATTGTTGGAAATTTTGATAGTTTGAAATTTGATAGTTGATAGTTGATAGTTTGAGAGTTGAAAATTTGGTTATTTTATTTAGTTAAGGTGATTCGATAGACGCCATATTTTGTGTCAGAATGGCATGCGACATATCCCATCAATTGGTTCCATTTTTTCATTTACTCATCATTTTTCTCCAATTTTAAGTTTCGCAATTCTGTTTTCAGGAGACTAAAGCACTCACTTATCAATTTGTATATTTATATTGAGTTAAGGGTAGAGACGTATTCCTCACCGGAATTGAGGAATGGAGGTGTTACAGTAAGTCCGGCATTAGGTTCCATTTCGACATCAGCGACGATCAACGCTACGATACTGGAAGCCAGTCTCCCGATATTAAATCCCTAGCGGGGAAGAAAAAAAATGCCTAGATTTCGCTAAAAATCCCTAAATCCCCAGATTTGCTCAAATATACTTAAAAAATCCCTAGATTTTGCAAAAAGCGCCATTTTTAACGAAGAATCATGATGTCATTCGATGTAGCGATTTGCAATATTTAAATCTGATTGGCTCGTTTGAATTTTGGCGCTCTCTGAAAGCAGTGCTAATCCAGACCAATAAAATGAAAGAATATTAGTTGATTTCTTATTATTAACAGGTTGAATGCAGTTGAATGTCAAGTACATCGAAGGACGCAATCGTTTTAATTTCCGGCTTATTTGCGGGGAAAATAGTGTTGCCAAAAAGGCCTACAAAATATAGATGAAAAAATGTTTTCGATTGTCGAAGCTAGAATTGAGGTTAAAAAGTTGATTTTTGGTAACTTTACCTCATCAAAAAAAAATCCCTAGATTTCCTGAAAAATCCCTAAATCCCTGGAAATTCCGGAAAATCCCTAAATCTAGGGATAAACCCTTAGACATCGGATGGCTGTTGGAAGCATTAGAGTCAACATTTGAAACGCTGCTGCAGAATTTGCCGGGAGTATAATCGAGTGTTGAAAGTCAGTAGAATTGAACAATGTAATAATTGCTTTCCGAAATAAGCGTTATAATAAAAAAACCACGAATCTGAACTGTTAATACTGGAACACACCTTCTGTAAATGTACCTTGCGAGAGATAAGTAACAAAATAGATGTACTGGAGGAGAAGTGCTTCTCCACAGAGTTTGAAGAAGGAAAAAAAATGCCCAAATTTACTTACTTCAGCATTTTCGGCAAAATCACTGCAATTTCCGAACCTTTTTCTGGCCAGGGGCCAAAATTAAATGATTATGAAGAGCCACTTAGATGTTGTAGATAAAAATAGGACTGTTGAAAAAGTCGCCGTTTTCAATAAATATGTTCCCGGAATGGAAAAAACAGCTCACAAATAAAAGCAAATTGCCATAGAAACTTCTTCACGAAATCACACACACAACGAAGAACGAGGCGCTACAGACGAGTCCGTCCAGGACAAGTTAAAAAATTCCCATGAGCCGAGTGCCGTAGGTTAAGGGCCCGTTCGCCAAAACTAATCGGAACTGTATGAATGAATTGCTCCTTTTAAAAATCAAAACAATATCGAATTGCGATATATTACACAGTTAAGATAGGGCTATGTCCTGTCGTAAGCGGCGACATACAGTCGATGTCATTTCAATAATCGCCCCAATGGCCACGATAGTTGTTAGACGTTTACGGTTTCCCTGGTAACCTTTGTTTGCTATCAGCTGATATCGAGTAATTAACTAGGAAGCTCCATCCCAGTGGTTAAAGCTTCCTTAACCGCGAAAACTTTAAAATTCAAATTTTCAAATTTTGAACGTAAAGTACATTTTTTCCATCACGAGATAAAAGCACAAACAAGTTTTGAATTATTGACTGTATCACCATGATTCCAAAAATACAATACACAACATAGCATTGACTAACAATAAAACAGTATGCAATAAAATAAAGTCATGACAAGGAACATAGCCGAAAATGGCGCCGATTCCCATCAACCAACGCGCGGTCTCTACAATGTAACATGCTGCATTGATACTCCCCAGCTGGGACCGTCCGGAATAGCAGCTCTAGTGCAAGCACCAGAGCCGCTAAAAATGTATTTTTTTTTATTTTCTGGCTAATCTTAATCTCCAACTCCTCACGTGTAATTTCAGACCAAGTTTTACTTTAGCTGATGAGTAGTTTTGAAGTTACGCGCGTTTTAGTGAGGGAAGGTTTGCAGTTTTTGAAGTCAAAATTACACTAAAACTCAGGTTGCTCGGCCCTCCCTCGCTATGCTCTCTCCTGTTTTAATTCCTCATTCCCCGAAAACTAAATTTTTCAGCACTCATGTACCTTTTTCTCAGGATCTACTGAACTGATTTTCAAAAACTTTGTTTTGTTCTAATCTTTGCACTCTCCTGCACATTTTAACTCGAGCTTTTTCAAAATTTCGAGCTGGATTTTTTTAAAATTTGATTTCAAGTGTCCAAATTCTATGATTTCTAACAAAAAAATTTCAAAAATTCACCAAAATGTCAAATTTTTAAATTTTAAAAAAAGCCCGCGTTGAAATGTTCAGGAGGGTTTAAAGTTCAAAACAAAAAAAGAGAAGTAATTTTTGTTCAGTAGATCCTGAGAAAAATGTACAAACGTTAACATTGGGAAGATAGGGTGTCTGGCTCCCCTTAAATTTTCCGGGGGAGGCCCGCCCCCGCATCCCCTTCCTCTGGTGGTGTCCCTTTCAGACCCCCACCCCCTGTCGACATCGGTAAAATCCCCCCTCCCCACAAACTCACCCTGGATCTGCCACAAAGTGGATCGAGTCAACTAGAGAGGTCGGACATGGAATTTTTTACTAAAATTGCAAATTTTAATTTTTATATCGTCACATTTTAAATTTCAAGGTATGCTAATTACAGAATTTTTCACGAGGAAACCAATGGAACCACTTGTAGAACCTCAAAGTTTTGTATGAACGGAGTTATAAGCTTTTAAAATGTTCGAATTTTGTCCGCCCTCTCCTATTTACCCAGTCCACTGTGCGCCACTGACGCCGAACGAGTACAAACTAAATGCATAACGGTTTTTAGAATTTTACGCTGATTTTTCGTTATTTGCTTCTTATATATGAGGACTTATCTGTAACAATAATGGATGTGAAAAATTACCTTTTCGAAACACATTAAAAAAACTGTTTTGGCATCGAGAAACTTTTGAGAAAATACTTGAGATGTGATCTTCGAGATTTGTACATTATGCCAGAGCCAAACATATTAAATTTTTGTGTGAACAAAACAGTCTTTTAAGCGTGTTTCGAAAAGGTAATTTTTTACATCCACTATTGTTACAGGTAAGTCATCAATGCTCAAATTTGATGATTTATGTACCTGTTACAACGAGAGCAGAAAATACCCAACATTGCCCATACTTGACCGGGTTTCCAGTGCGAGCATATTCTTGGATAATGGCTGCGCTTCCCGTCCAAGCGTGTGGTGCTGTCCCGTCCGCGTAGCTCTCAGGGCCGTCGCCCCATCGGCCCACGATCAAACCATCGTCATCGTTTGAGTTGATCTGAGACATAAGGAAAAACACTACTTGCTGCATTCATGCGTGTACGAGAATAAATATGAAACAATTCAGAGGTTAGACATAATGACACTGCGCCGAGAAACAATACGTAAGAAATTCATAGGAATTTTCGTAGCAATATGGGGCCGGGCCGTTCAAGTATTACGTAATGCACTTTTTCCAATTATTTCACTCCCCTTCCCCCATTTGTATCGCACCCCTAACGTAG